GATACCAAGCCAACTGCGGGCTTGAAGGAAAAACCCAGTAAGTTCTCCTGCCTTTCATCCCCAAGACTGTCCACAAGGACTCAGAGATGTTCCCCACGTCGCCCTACCCCCTCTTCCCGAACAGACTGTGCCATGCAGCTGCCTCGGGAGGGGAAGAGCCTGGTACAATACGCCCAAGGCACTTGAAGGAGGTGACGCTGTACCCGCTGCTATGGCACAGGGCAACAGGGTTTTTTGTCACAAGCCCTGCTCTAATAGCACGGAGGGGAAAATGCACGTCACCTAGAGTTTAGCAGAGGATGAAGCAATACCCAGCAAGGCAGGGAAGTTGTTGGCAGAGGTCAGCCAGCTCCCGCCATCCACGACCAGGGTGGTGCCCGTCACGTAGGAGGAGAGTGGGCTCGCCAGGTACAGCGTGCTGTGGGCGATCTCTGTCTTGTTCCCCGCACGCTGGAGGGGAATTGTTTTGAACTGGCTCGCATCCTCGGCAAACTTCCCACCTAAGAGGAGTGGTAGAAGAGTCAGCTAGGACCTTCCTACCAGGCACGGCTCACACGGGGCTTGCCGGGAGCCCCAGGGAACCCACATGAGATCCCGGCACAGCCCAGGGACAAAGGCCTGAGGAAAAACAAGCAGAGCTCAAGCCCAGCAGGGATTTATGCAGCAACAGTGACGTCAAGGCAGGACATTGGAGCTTTCCCAGGGCTCCGTGGATGGACTGCAAGAGCTAAACCATCAGGCGAGGCTGACCTTCAGGGTATCAGAGAGCACAGAAAGCTGCCACCCGACAGAAAAATCAACACCTGACAAGGTGTCAAGGGTGCAGGAAGGAATGCTCCTCCCAAGAGATGTCCCAGCCAAGTCACAGGACAGCTGTGCCCAGAAACAACGGCCCCAGCCATGTCACAGGCCCCCCGAGCTGCATAGTCCCATCCCAGAGAGACTCCAGCTAGCCACAGACCAGAACCCTAAGTTGCCTTACCCAGCCGCCGGTAGCCCTCGGTGCCTGTGATGGGGCCGGGCGCCAAGCTGTTCACTCGGATGTTGTTGGGTCCCCACTCCACAGCAAGGTGACGGGTCATAGCATCTGGGAAGGGATTACAACAGGAATGAGAAACGTGCAGTGGAGCCATTCCTATTAACTTGGGATGGGGAGCAAAAAGCTACAGAAGATACTAAACAAGAGCAAAGCAGCCCTGCAGGGGAGAAGAGCCTCATCTCAAACCCAGGCACGTAGTAACCACACCGATTCCTATTCAACTTGCCCAAGGACATGCTCCCATCCCAATACCTGGGAGGAACTAGCTTCCTTACTGGCCCTACATAGCTCACAGAGCCCCAGCGAGGAGGGTTTAGGTACCTATGGCAGCCTTAGCACTCCCAGCATGCACCTGGAGGGCCTGCCCTCGGTAGCTCAGGGTCGCCGTGATGTTAACGATGACCCCACCGTGGTCCTGGGGAGGAAAGGAGACATGGCATTAGGCAGGGGGCAGCACAAGGGGTCACATAGTAGAGTGGTGGGACAAGCGAGCTGGGCTAGGAGGGACGGTCACCCATGGGCACTGCCGTGTTCTGCTCTCCACGCTGCTTCTCAGGAGCAAAACGTGGTCTGTTCGACACTAACACCCTGCCTACCAGGAGCCTTCTCCACCAAGTCCTCTGGTCTGCTCTACTTACCCGGAAATATTTCTCAAAGAGGATTTTGGAGGTATTGAAAGTGCCAATGGTGTCGATATCTATCACTGTCTTGAAGGCATTGAAGGACAGGGCACTGGCCGGGCACAGAAAGTTTCCTGCAGCACCTGAAGAAGAAGGAACCGAGGGCACAGTCAGGACTGGGCCAGGGGAAATCAAGCATCTCAGTGAGAGGGACGGTGAACGATCCTCTCTGGGTAAGACTGAAGAGCGTGTGGAGACAGCCCTGATAAGGGGAGGAACAGTCTGTGGCTCTGGGCACCCAGCAGCACGGCCTGTGTGTCTAGGGGCAGACAAGCAGAAACACAACTATTCCTTGGATCATAAGAAAATGGTATATCTTGGTACCTGCAAAGAGTGTGAAGCTTTCCTAGGGATTTTGGGTAGAATTAGGGTTAGGGCAGGAGGGTGCTGGTAAAATGATCCATGGTCAGGCGAGCACAGATGACCACGTACCACCAGTGGGTCTCTGCTTCCTCTGAGCATCCCCTCTGCGCTCCCAGGGACTGGCCAGATGCTCCCAGGCCAAAGCAATACAAGCACAAGGCAAACAAAAACCCCAGGTAGGAAAACACCCTTCCCAGCAGTGAGTCTGTACCGAATCTTCCCTTTACTGACTCCAGCAGCTCACCATTGATGAGGATGTCAATCTGCTTGAACTCCTTCAGTGCCTCATCCACCGCTGCCGCGATGGTTTGGGGCTGCCTGACATCTAAGGACACAGGCAGGCACTGCTGGCCTGTGGCTGCCACCAGCTTTTTTGAGGCCTACAAAAAAAATTAATAAAATTACAAAAAAATAATAATAAAAAAGAGACTTGCAATTCTGTCTGGGACTCTCTCCTTCAGAAAGGGTTAGACCTAGAGATTGCAACAGGTAAGCAGAAGTCAGGCAGGAGCCATGTCCCTATCAACACAGAGCAAACACTACAGGGAGCAGAGAAATCTGCCTAAACACAGCCAGGTTCAGCCAGGCTGTACCCTGCAGCTAAGAAACACGGGTATCCAGTGAAAGCTCCTGCACCTCATGTGCCAGCCGAACGCCAGGCTGACCAGAGACTACCCCTCGTTAAGGCCAGTTATCTCAGCAGCCTATCATCAGCACATCCAGAGCAACATCTGTGCAGGGCAAGTACAAAGATTGGACCCCAACGAGGCACTTCTGGCACAAGCCCAGACATAATTAACCTTTAGATCCAAAAAACCTATGTCAGTAAGCAAAAGGGCAAACACAGACCGACAGTTGCCAGAGTCTGCCCATGAAGCAGAGCGGGGCAGCCCCACGGCTCAATGCCTGCAGCAAACCGCCCCCGAGGGCTCATTAGGAACATGACTCCCCCCTCAGCAAATTAAGCACAAGGGATGTGCAAACTCCGCAGCAAACCTGCACAACACCCAGGGACCTTCCACGTTCCTGCTCGGGCTTCAGTGGGAAGCTCTGAGCCCCACCAAGCACACACACGAACTCTGAGCGCCTAGAGCCTGGGCAAGCAGTCCCCGTGTTCTCAGAAGCCTCCAGCCCCTGAGGACTAAAAAGCTGCTAAGCTCTGCAGCTTGTTTACTGGCACACAAGCCTGAGGGAATGCAAAAAATACGGCACTAACCACCTCTAACCACCTCCGGGAGGCAGCTGGGTCATGCCAGCTCACTCCTAAGCACTGCTTTTTATCTTTATTAAACTTCAATCAAGTCCACACACAGCTACCACAAAGCTCTCTCACGGCCACTTTCAGGCTGAGACCGCAGCAGAAGCCACAGACCTTCACCACAGATTCACAGATTGTTTCTTTCCATCTCATCAACAAAAAGGTTACAGGAAAACTGGCACAGACACACCCAAAGCTGGAAGGGAAAAGGAGCAAACTCCACCAATAACAGTTCTGCTGTGAGGTGAGGTGCGGTGGGTGCAGCCCACCCCTCAGCCCACCCTGCTCATCACTGCTCCTCCTGGTGCTGAAGCGCTCAGAGCCAGGAGAAGCTGGGGCAGCACTGGTAAGCCATGTTGCCTATTGCTCTACTCCCAAGCCCAGCCAGAGGAGAGGGCAGAAGGATTTCGATGCCTTCAAAGCGCTCCCTTTTGCCTGCCTGTCTTGCCAGAGTCCACAGACCCACCTCTGACACTCGCTGCAGGTTCCGGCTTGCAAGGACTGTCCGACAGCCGTGCCTGCCAAGAAAGAAGGACCACAGGGACACCTCAGACCTCTGAGCGGCAGGAGGTGGCACAACGCTCCTACAGGGAAGGAACCGCTGCTTCCTCCGGCCTTGCTGGGCTCAAAGACAGCCACAGCGCGCTAGAGACTTAACCCAGCCCTGTGACAGGGC